GTGATATTTTGCTACCTGTATTTGCTCTCGTACATCATCCTTTACTTTGCAGATAAGTTTAACTATGTACATTCTAAACTCCTTTTCTGACATTTCTTCCACTGTCATGTTGATAGATTCTGCTATTGGAGTATCTTGGTTTGCTTGCAACTGTTTGTTCCCTTGCTTTTTCATGTGGTTTCTGTGCCTAGCCATCTACCAGAATGGATCTGAGGCAGTAGAGTTTCTACCCTGTGGACTTACAGTATCTTTGAAGGTTTACATACCTCACTGTTTAGGGGGAGACAAATAATAACACCAATGTAAACAATTTACAGCATTAAATAAAATAGTTCCGACTATGACATCTACAATATTAATTATCACAATAAACAAAAATGGATATGATTAGTTATTGCCTATAAAAAGAACAGCAAGTTTGCAAAAGGGTTTACATTTTCAAATGGTGGACAGTAAGAGAAGAGAAGTGATATAGGATGTGATTATTATGAGGGAGGAGGAAAGAAGACAGAAGTAAAAAATCAAAGAAGAGTGAAAGAACAATAGAGGTTGGCTGTGAGCAGAATAATAGAGATAATTAGGGAAAACAGGTAGAAAAAATATAGAAAGCAAAAATTCTAAAAAATAAAAATTAAAAGAATACAAAACAAAAATAAAATATATTAATCAAAATCCTAGTTCATGGAAAAAACTAATCCATTTAAAATAACTGGCTTCAAAAGAGAAGAAGAAGCAAAATAGAAACTATATAAATGGCCATGTACCATTAAGCTCACAATTAAACAGTGAAAAAAAATTTTAAAAAAAAGAAATAAAAATCTTGATGAAAATTTAAAGAATTCTTTCTTTGGAGTTCAAAATATTCTTAGTTTCTCAGCAGTTTTAGGTGGGGTCATCTGGAGTGTGATGCTCCACCCTCTGGATTGCTGGAGTGAGAGAGGTAATCCTGTAGGTGGAGTTCTTGGAAGCATGGTTTAGGCTCAGGCAGGCTCCAGGCTCTTTGCTGAATGCTAATTGGTCTGGAAATTTAGCACACCTCCAGTACCCAGTACTTGCTGGTCCATGCTGGAAGACTTTACCCCAGGAGTCTCCCCTGGGTTCCACTCATGTGGTGGGGGAGCCAATTCTTAGTTCCCTATGTCACCTGCAGACCCCAGGTTTCCTGGTCTTGGGTTCAGTCTCCAAACAATTTCTGCCGCCCTGCCCTTCTGAGTTCCTGGCCAGATAGGTCTCTCCCAGCTGCAAGCAGTTGAATTAGAGAGGGAGGGGTAGTGCCAGCCTGGTTTCCTTGACCAGTTGTCCCCTACATAAATCTCTCTCCACATTTGATTTTTTTCTGGTCACTTATGCACACTCTGTGCCCTGCAGAGTATGTTTACTGGTCCTGTATTTATGGCCAAACTCTGGTTTGCCTGGAATCGGCTTCCTGCATTGCCAACCCCTAGCCACAGCTGCAAAATGGTTCCTTCCTCTTCCTCATGCCACCTAGAGAGATGGTGGTTTCTTTCTCCAAACATGGATATCATGCAGTGAGTCCTTCAGGTTTGTTGGGCAATATCCTTGGTCTCTAAACACTCCGTACCCAAACACTCCTCGGTCCTCCCAAAAATGTGGGTTCCTTTAATTCCATTATTCCTCTACTATACCCACAGAGGGGCCTCTCTGGCTAGAGCCTCCAGCCCAGCTGTGGTGGTGGCTATCCCACTGGGGGGGCGGGGGGGTCCTTATTTTATTATATCCAACCTCCTGTGCCCTGGTCTGCTTTGAATGTCCAGTTTTAGTGTCCAGTAAAGTTCCCCACCTCCCATTTTTGAACATTTCCTACCTTATGGAGAAGCTGCCTATCTGCTTTCTTTGTTTTACACCATGGAACAGCCAGGCATGCAACCTCCTCTATTCCTCCATCTTGGACCTGAGCCCTCCACAATGTTTTCCGTAATGGTTATTCTCATTTACATTGCTACTAACAGTGTCCATGTTGACCACTGTTATCTTTTATTTATTTTTGATAATAGCCATCCTTACCTGAGTGATAGCTCACTGTAGTCTTGATTTGCATTTCCCTGATGATTAGTGATGTTGAGCCTTTTATCATATACTGTTAGACATTTGTGTGTCTTCATTTAAAGAATGTCTGTTTAGGTCATTAATATTTATTGTTTATTTTTAATCAGGTTATTTTTTAATTTTTGCTATTAAGATTTTTTTGTTCATTGTATATTCTGAGTATTAAATACTTGTCAGATGTTCTCCCATTATATAACTTGTCTCTTAACTTTGTTAATTGTTTCCTTTGCTGACCAGTACTTTTTTAGTTTGATGTGATCACCCTATTTGTCTGTTTGTCTATTAGCTTTTCCCTGTTATTTTACAATCTTTTCCAAAAACTTATTGCTTATACCAATGTCCTGAGTGTTTTCTTCCAGTAGTTTTATAATTTCAGGTCTTAGATTTAAGTCATTCAATCATGTTGAGTTGTTCTTTTGTAACTAGTAAAAAGTAGAGATCTAGTTTTATTACACATATAGATATTCATTTTTTTTCAGCATTATTTATTGAAACAACTATTTCATTTCTAGTATGTGTCCTTAGCATTTTTGTTGAAAATCAGTTGGCTTATAGACATGTGGGTTTACTTCTAGGTTCTATTCTGTTTCATTGATCTGTGTGTCTGTTTTATGAAAATATGCTCTTTTCATTACTACAGCTTCATAGTATGTTTTGAAATCAGGTAGTATAACGCCTACTTATTTATACTTTGTGCTCAAGATGGCTTTGGCTATTAGGAGGTTATTTTTGGTGGTCTTATAAAAATTTTAGGATTTTTTTTTCTGTTTATGTGAAGAATGTCATTAGTATTTTGGTAGAAGTTGCCTTAAAAGGTGAATTGTATGGACATTTTTATAATATTGATTGTTCCAACCTATGAACATGGGATATGTTTGCACTTTTTTGTGATTCCTTTAATTTCTTCCATCAGTGTTTTATAATATTTATTAAAGGATTATTGAAATTTTAAGAAGTATTGATATCTTTTTAGTGTAATTTGCTCCACCCATATTCTGGTATCTATTTAGTCAAGTCTTTCTGAAAGTATTTTAGGAGAAAAATTAAATTTTCTCTCTGTAAGGTTTGTGTAATTCTTGCTGAGTTAATTCCTTTGTACTCTTCCTTTGCTCACCATAATAAATAATATCTTTTTTAAAAAAATGAAATCTGGGCTGAGGATGTGGCTCAAGCGGTAGCACGCTCGCCTGGCATGCGTGTGGCCCAGGTTCCATCCTCAGCACCACATACAAACAAAGATGTTGTGTCCGCCAGGAAAAAAAAAAACTAAAAATAAATATTAAAATTCTCTCTCTCTCTAAAAAAAATGAAATCTGACTAGTTATTAGTGGGTTAAAAAATTTCTTGAGTTTGTGAGTTAACTCATATTCAGAAACCATTCTAACCTCTATCAATTCAAAATTATTCTGTTGATTCTGATAAGTGTGGAGTAATTTCACACTCTGACAAATAATAGTGATATGCCCTGAGAGCTCACCATGTGCCAGGAATTGCTTTAACCCCACAAGATATTATGAGTCTGGTGGTATAACTCTTCCATTTTCCTCTGTCTAAAGCATTCAGAACTTGCCCACAGTCACATAGCTATTTCATAAATTCCTGGCTGTATGCTGTTTCTGGTTCTATCTATATGGGGTTTGAGTCATATAACCCTCTTTAAATTGTGGTTGTCACTTACCTAGCTCATAGGTCATTTGACTCATAAATATAATGATGAAGGTCTTGAGAAAAGAAATTTATGCTTCCAAGTAAAAATTTCCATGATACCACTTAATGAAGAATCTAAAATTGTCTAGTAGAATGGTGGTTGGTAGAAGCTGGTAGGAGGGGGAAACCGAGAGATATTAATCAAAGAATACAAAATTACAGCTTTATATTGTTGAATAAGTCCTAGAGATCTACCATCTAGCACAGTGCCTATAGGTCACAATATTGTATACTTAAAATTTTGATGAGGGTCAATTCTATCATGTGTTCTTATCTCAAGTAATAGTAATAATAAATAGAGTGTGAGTAAACTTTCAGAAGGGATGATTTCACAGGTGTATATTATCTTGAAGTTGCTTACAGCTGTGAATTGTACATAAGTAGTATGTATAGATATGTTAATCATTCCTCAATAAAGTGGGGAAGGAAGAGAGGAGGAGCCTGAAAATTGTACATAAGCAGTATGTATACATATGTTAATCATTCCTCAATAAAGTGGGGGAGGAAGAGAGGAGGAGCCATAAAAGCTCTGTCCCAGCACCTTATCAGAAGGTACTGGCAGTAAAACATAGAAGGCTTTTTAGGTGGGCTGGGAATGTAAATCCGTGATAGAGTGCTTGTCTAACACCACAGGTGAGACTCTTGGTTCAATCTCCAGTACTGGAGGTAGGAGTGGAGTGGGGGAGAGAGGGCTGAGCATTTAGAAGTGAGCATTTCATTGATCTCTTTATCTTTTTATTTTTTTAGACTCACGAATTCTGGAAAACAGGAACAAAAACAATCCTAAGCATCCTCATCATTAATGCAAGCGGAAGGATATTCCTCAATAAAGAAAAAAACTGATCACATCATGAAAGGCGAAATCATTACAAAATTGATTACTTGAATATATAATTTGATCCTGAATTAAAAATAATAAAGGTAAATTTTAAAGAAAGTGATCCACTGGTTCAATTCAACTTCAAAATATTTGCCATTTCTTCAGTTACCAACATAGTTATTTAAAGAATTCACCTCTCCCTCTTCCCACCACATTTCCTTTCTCAGTACAGGTATCAGGAACATGTTTAAAAAAAAATTGAAAAAGGAAAAAAAATATTTGAAGATGAGCTAGAATTAATATGAAAACCATTGCCCACGAATTGATCCAGGCTCCTTTGAGCTCCTGGGGGCGGGGGGCGGGGGCGGTGGAAAAGGCAGAAGAGGAAAAGAGGCGGAGACCCAGCCCCAGGCCTTCAGCGAGCAGAGAGGGGCACCACCATTTCTGGTGCTAAGGATACAGACTGAAGCAGGTGACGCTTAGGATCCTCTCCCCTCCCCGGCATAGCTCGGGGGCAAAGACTGGTCGGGGAGAACTGCCGGCCCTTTTCCTAGCAGCAGCCGGCCACCCCGCGCGCACGGCTGGGATCCAGAATGGAGAGGCTGGTGAGCGGGGCTAGGGGATGGAAAGGAGGGCGCTGGGTGGGCGAAGCGGAGCCGGTGGTCTTGGGGCGGACAGCAGGCAGGAAGAATGCAAGGAGCCGCGGCTGATCGCGGTCTAGTCCGAGCTGGTCGGAGGTGCTGATGGCCAACGCATTCTTCTCAGACATTTACCCTGCTGAGAAGCGACTCTTGCCTTTTAAAGGGTGGTTGACAGGCAGTTTTTGGTGTCGTGGTTCTCCTGAGGAAAGGATGCTACCCGGCGAGGGCGAAGCTTCCCGGAGAAAGATTACTGCTTTCCGCCCAGAGAAATTGGGGCCGGGAGGCGAGCGCTGGAGGCTGCGGGTGCGTAGGGCGTCTCCACTGGCTGACTGCAGCTCCCGGGGAGAGCAAGGCACAGCCTGTCTTACATTGCCCCAAGAAGGGGATGACAAGCTTTGGGCTGGCTCTGCGCTGGCGACCAAAGATGCGGTGGGGATGCAGAATTCCTATCTCGCTTGCTCCCTCTCTTGCCTCTTTGGTGCTCAGCCTTGCTGCCTCCTCTGGGCTCTTGTCTTGGGAAGCCATGAAAGATCCGATAAAGCGGCAGCAACAATTGAGAGGGGATTGAAACGCTTTGTGATCCTGTTTCTTGGAAGGGTTAAACCCCAGGATATCTAGGGAGGCCGACATTTTGTTTATTCTGGATCTGTTTATATGACCAAAGTTAAAGGCGAGGATGTTCGTATGCCCTATAATATAATTAGGTAAAAATAATCAAATACGATTAAAGCCTCAAGGTAATATACTCATATATAGTTTACTGGCAAGACCACACAGCCAGTTACTTCATTATCTTTTTTTAACAAAGGAGAATAGTAGTCCGTGAGCTAGTGTCTTTTTCTGGATAGATGCTCTTGATCATCACAACAAGGAATTATTACCCCATTTTACAAATAAAGAAACAGGAAGAGAGATTAATTTTTCTAAGACCATGTGGCTACATGTGGTAGGGTGGGGGTTCAGACTTAGAAACTCTCAGAGGAAGAGAGATGTGTACCTGCCAGGTGGGCTGTTTTGAGGTAAGGTCTGGGCCTTGGTAAATCTGCCCTTTTCTGTGAGGGCCATTGTGGATTTCTTTGTTTTCATGATTGGAATCCTGGTTTGTTTCCATTGATTAATCTCTTTAGCTACCTCACAGGTTTTGGCATTTATTAAATCCTAGACTGCAGTAAATACTGCTAAATACTTTATTCCTACTATATGCTTATGAGATAACAGCAACATTGATTTAGTGCTTATTTGTACCAGGCACTATTTTAGGAGCTTTGCACTTGTTACAGGCTGAATACCCATTATTCAAAATGCATGGGACTGTATTTTAGATATCAGATTTTTAAAAAAAAATTTTAGAATATATACATAATTTATACATAATGAGATATCTTGGAAGCAAACTTAAGTCTCACTCATTTTTAATGTAGACCTTATACACACAGCCTGGAGGTAATTTCATAAAATATTTTTAGTGCCTCCTTTATGATTACAACGTATCAGATAATGTGAAGTGTAGAATTTTCCACCATGACATCATTTTAACATTTAAGAGTTTTAGATTTTTGTAGCATTATGAATTTCAGATCTCTTGCCTGTATTTCATTTAGTCTTTTTAACCATGACGTTAATACTGTTATTTATTTATTTATTTTTGTCTCGGGTAAAATGATTTGTCTTACCTTATACATTAAAGTATTTGTTTTAGACAAAATTCAAGTCAGCCAGAGTCTTCCTTTGTGGCTACCATACAGTAATGCCAGATAGACTTCTTTAAAAATAGAAATCCTGTTGTTTTCAAGTTGGCAGTATTTTCAGTTACTCTACTTAGAGTAGAGGAACAATTGTGATTTTTTTTAACAGTGGGGTTTTCTTTCAGATTACCTTTGACTCTGTCACTGTATTTTTGTTTCTTAATATTGCTGGCTCCCAGTCCACAGTTTTGCATTTTGGTATATGTCTGCTTTTTCTCTTGTCCTGAAACAGATTTTCTCTATGAAATCCCAATTCTGCATTTTCTCATGACAGCCTGCTAGGGCCTGGGTTTTCAATGAGAGAAGCACATAATTATTTCTTATAACAGCATGGAATTAGGATGCCAATATCTCTCGCCACAATAGCTTTAACTGAAAATAAAACAAAATGTGTTGGTATCTGGCAGGAGATCCTGAGGAAACACTTGGCTGACTTTTTTTCTGACTTTCTCACACTATAAAATAGAATGGGGCAGTCCCGGTAATACTGAGAAATTTTTCAAATAGTCACTGGGGCACTTCAAAACTAAAGGCTTTTTAATGTGGTGCCTGTGAGTTGGTGAGTAGTGCGAGGTGAGCAGGTGTTATGGGGGCTGAGTATATTTTCAGATAGCACATCATCCATGACTTCCTAAAGGCAGTAACTGGTATTAGCCTTAGATCTGTGAAAAAAAGGGGAGAAATCAGCAGATAGGCATGGCATGCTCATGGTATGCTTAGACATTAAATAATAAAATACATGTGCAAATGGTAATTTGTCCTAATGGCATGTTCAGATATAAATTTTATTCCCCCATAACCTTAGAAATGTAAGGGAAAAACCAACTTGTGCCACATAGATGAATATCAGTGTGCACCATGATGGAATTCCTTGGGATTTAGGCAGAAAGTCTGATTGGGCCTCCCTGTCTGAAGATGAGGAGGCACTACTTCGATATTGGGTGGCACTGGAGATAGGACCACAGAGAGGTGATACATCATCCCTTCCAGGGCATCCCTCTCAAAAGATCTACAAAGGACACAAATAGAAAATGTGTTGGAGATTCTCCATCTCTGGCAGTTTCAGTGGATACGAAAGAAGAGAACCAGGGATTCATCCAGACTGTGACAGTTCAGGTGCTCCCATGAATACATCCACCTCTTGAGGACACGTGGGCCCCAGAGAAACTGAGACAAGCCTGGTTCTGATGTTCATCACAACATTAATCCCAAACCACGGACTGGGCCAGGACAACTGGGGCTCCTCTCATTACAGCCATATGCCTAAGTGTAGCTTAGGCAGGTGGTTACCTCTCTTCCTGAAGAAAAAAATCAAAGTTGCATAATGAGATTAATGTTTGCAAAACATCGGATGATCTAACCTGCGTTGACAGTTCTACTGAACATTTCTCAGTAAGTTTTAGGTCATGGTTACCCTCTGAGGGATGAAAAGATATGTACTAATTAGAACTAAGATGTCTATACAGTGGGAAGACAAAAACTTATTAAAATTGGGATGCTCCCACTGGGGACAGGAAAAGGAAAGATAAATTCCTGTGGCAGATAAGAAAAAGATATTTAGGTCGTCAAAGACTCTGTTCCCCCACCGTTCCCCCCAATCCTAAGGCCACAAGAAGAAATTAGAAACCCCAGAGAAATTCAAGGATCCAGTTTAGGGTATTGGGGAAAATGAACTCTAGCAGAGCTTTTGCTATCATTTATTCTGTCTTTAATCACTGTATTTAAAAGCAACTGTAAAAACAAGGCTTAATTAAGGCAACCAATGAGAATGAGGTGATGAGAATCCCTCAGGTACCAGCCTTTGCAACCATGATATGGAACTGAGGCTGTTTAAGTGGATATGGTTCAAATAGTTTAGAAGGAATCTTCAAGTTATAGCAGAAGCTGGAGCTAAGCAGGTCTGACAAAACATCTGCACATTTAGAGCAGAACACCCACGCTGGGTTTGTTGTGGCAATAGATTGGAACTTGGAGAAAGTGGTCAGGATGTCCTGAGGTTTTTGTGGGATAATAGAAAAAGTGGTTAGATAAGAGATTATTTCTAGCCAAACAAGACAATGTCCCAGCCTCTGAAATTTAGCACAGTCTGAGAAGATGTTTCAAAATTGGCAGTTCATGTTTTAGTATTAAATGTTTTCCAATGGACAAGAGCGAAGAAACAGAATAACAGACTGGGGTGAGGGGTGCTAGACAGGTGGCATGCAGGTTAGGAGCAGTGTCTCAGGGTCTGGGGCATAGGGGGAGCTATGTTTTGGAAGAGGGCATTTTCTCTCAAGGTGGAAAGTGGACTGGTGTGTTTAAACAAGATCTGGAACTGGTAGGATGGTAGACATAAGGAAGTAGGAGCCTTTGGGGGGCGGGGGTGGGGGTGGGGGCGATTAAGTCTATTTGGTGCACCAACAGGCTCACAGACCTAACCAAAAAATGCTTCTGAGGCACAAGATCGCTGTGCCCTAAAATGACTGAAATCAGGTTCACAGAAAGCCCTAAAAGATCTAAATAAAAGTCAGGGAATTCATTTTTGGTAGGGGAATGGTTTAAGCAAAAATGCCAAGGTAGGGAATTGTGTGGTGTGCATTGAGAAATAGATAAGAGGGGAAGGACGTGTAGGGAAGCAATGGAAGATGAGTTTTCAGGAATGGATCAAGTTAGGTGAAAATGCTGGAACTATTTTCTTTAAAAAACCAGGGAAGATAGAAGGTTCTTAAGGGTGTGGTAACTTGTACAAAGATGAATATTAAGGAAAATCTGTCTAATAGTATTATGTATGTATATAAGCTGGATGGTGAACTTAATTTGAGGTGGGATGCCGTGTCTGCCTGATCCACCACTGTCTCCAAAACATCAGGGACAGTGACTGGCATGAAGTCAAACTCAGGAGAGATTATTAATGACAGAATAAATGATAGCAGAAGCTCAGTAAGTAGGAAGACAACTACACAAAACACCCAGTGTTAGGAGTCGAGACCAGGAAAGGTGAGGAGCAGGGACTTCACAAAGTATGATGTATTGTGTAGAGTGACTAATGACATGTCTGGGAAGTGAGAGAATGTGAAATCCAGGATGACTCCAGTGACTGGGAGATCAGATTTCACAAGAGAAGTCATTTTGATGAATTTAGTGTCATTCATAAATGTATTCATTCACTCCTTTCCTTTCATTCGTTGGACCCACAGCACTGGAAGCTAACAGAAAACCTAAAAGAACTGATGCAGAAAAAAGCTTGGTAGTTTCAAGGCATCCAGAGGGTGGTGAGGGGGAGCTGGAGGGCAGGGAGGAGAGCACAGTGAGTGAGCTGGGAGAGCATCTCTGGAGGTGCTGAGCCCCAGGGGTGGAGATGGAAGCCAAAGACTCCAGTCAGACATCTGTGGGGGATGCTTTATCACCACCAGAGTTTCCAGAAAGTTTCTTAGGGTACTAGTTTCAAAATTGAATATAGTATATTGTTCCTTAGGGTACTAGTTTCAAAATTGAATATAGTATATATAGTTTCAAAATTGAATATAGTATATTGTTCCAGGGCAATGAAGCAGGGATCTCTGTGTGACTAAGAGTTTAATAATTCCTTATAATAGTGATTTGGTAAAAGGCAGTAACAATATCATTTTATTAAAACCAGAAACATTACAGTATTTCTGTAGTGGATTATGGTTAAGAGCTCTAGAGCCAAACTGCCTGGGTTTAAAATCCAGCCTTTCTAGCTGTGTGGCCTTAGGAAAGTTAACTTCTCTGTGTCTCATATTCTCCATTTTGGAAATGGTGATAATAATGTTACCGCTGTTTATCAGTGATGAGTCCTTGCTTCCCCCAATGCTGAAGTATATAACACCAGAGAAGCACATGGAGGCAAGTGTAGAGTGGAACGTAGAAGCTTTATTAAAGGACAGCAGAAAAGACTTCTCCAGGAGGAAGAAGGGGACCCAAAAGGCAGAATCCTTGGAAGGAGGAGGTCTTCCCTGTTTTATAGTGAAGGTCTACTTTAGCTTTCCTGGCATTCCTGTGGCATTCCCTGTCCTTTGTTCTCCCTTATCTTGCAGTGATGGAATGTAGGTGGGAAGGCCCAAAGGATGGGGGACCCCTGGGCTGAAAGAGTAATCTGGGCAGGAAGGGCCTGGGGTGTTTGCCTCGAGCTGCTTCATTAACGTTTCCTTGGGATGGGCTCTGGGCATTGGGGACATAACAATTCAATTTCCCCAAGTGCTGCTCTGTTTTCCTGGATTCCATTCTCAATAATGGCCTCCATTTTATTCATCTTACTTGATATTAGACCCGATTTACCTAACTACACTAACTACCTATCTTTAAATCTGGTTTCAGTAAGAGGGTTCTGTAATAGGTTTATATGAACTATTAGATGAAGTAGTTTATCTCAAGTGCTAAGAACAGTGTGTGGTGCATAAGAAATATTCAATAAAGGTTGTCATCATTAGTGGTTTCATCACCTTAGGCAAAATGGAAGTTGGAGAGTCGTTTTCACATATTATCTTGTATGTTTTTGGATTCTGGTCTTTTGTTTCTGTCTCCTGGTTTTTTAAACCAGACAGTCAGGCACCCACTACTTTAGAGCTCTGCCACAAGAAAGCAGGAAGGAATCTCAAGTTTCGCACAAGCAAGATCCTAAACATTCAAGTTTCATATGAAAGACCAAGGACATAAAATTCATGCCAGAAAAAGCTAGAGAAAACTTAAATTTCTTACACATCTTTATTTTATTTTATTTATTTATTTTTTTGGTACCATGGATGGAACGCAGGGGCACGTGACCACTGAGCCACGTCCCCAGCCCTGTTTTGTATTTTATTTAGAGACAGGGTCTCACTGAGTTACATTTCTTGCTGTCTTCCTTAAAATGAACATCCATGGAGACCAAGTGAAGGAATCCATGAGACAGCTGTAGGGAAAAGTTCAACTGAATACACCCTTCCTGCTCATTTTTGAAGAAAGTGATGCTCCAAATAACATTCCCTTAAATAGCCCCATGGCTTACAAGAAGGCCAAGGATTTCTGCCTAGACACATGGAAACAAAGCAACGAAGAAAAAAAACAATCAAATTAAAACCAGTACTGGTTTTTTAAAAGGTGCAATTTATACAAAACTTGTGACATTTGCGGGGGAATCTGACTCCACAAATCTCTAGGTGGTTACGTGTTTCTGAAGTGTTTTCCCTTAATACTAACAGACATGGACCATTTGAGGAGTGGATACATTCTCCATTTGTATTCTCTGCATTTTCTGTATTTATTTAAGGTAGTGTGTTTTCCCCAGTGATCCTACATCTTTGAGACTTTGCTGTTGACAATGGTGGTTTAGGAGCAAGGCCACCCATTGCAAGGGCCAATTGCTATTACAAAAGAGCCACACTGCAGCTTTGCCCTCTCCACATCCTGAATACTCTGTTATTTCTTCTATCTATAACCTCTAACTACTTCCACAAAACCAAATTCTCTGGGGAAAACTTAACTCTCCAAACATGTCCTGAAATAGCACTTAGATGGAAGATTCCTTGGCCTTATCCAAATGCAAACCCCATTTCTGTACTTTGCTTTCTGTCTTCAGGTATTCAGGAAGCCCTTCTGTCATCTGTCCACCTACAGCCTGATTTGGGGCATGGCAGCAGTGGTGCTGTGTACAGCACAAGGTAATGATGCTCAGTTCCCCCACCCCGAGTAAATGCAATGTCTGGGGTGGACACTTTGGCCACTAACCACTGTTTGTGATGCTAGTCCCATTTGTCTCCATGAATTATTGAAGCATGTAATTTGCTTGGAAGAATGGGAGTGGTTCTTTCCGCTTTTCACATGTTTGTTTGCAGAAGAGAAGAACAGCTGTTTCCATAGATGAACCAGGCTTATGAAAAATATTCTCTTTGAGTTAAATTATGTTGTCATTTTTCACCCACCAAAAGACTTTAAGACATAGTAATTCCTCTGTTTGTAAGGATATGGGAATGATTATGGGAGTCTGAATGGATTCGATATTTTTGGAAGACAATATCACAACCTTAAAACTGGGCATGCCCTCTTTTTACAGAAAAATATAGAAAGTAATGAAATATAGAGGATATGTAGGTTCACATTATTTATCATGTAAAAATCGTACCCATGCCATCTGACTGCTGAATTCCCTATTTCTCCCTGCTCGACCCCATAGGTCACTGCTTATTTTTCTGTTGGACTTTATTTTCTAAGTTTTAATTTTTAATCATTTTCAGTGTATTGTTTCTCAACATTGCCCACAGGGGAAGGTGATGATTGTGAAGGACAGGTGGGCTTCATGCCCATCAAAACCCTGGTCCACAATATCCAGTATTTACCAACTGATTGGAAAATCTAAATGGGTTCCATACCAGCAACAAAGAATGGTGAAATTTCCCATCAGTGGCTTCTTTCATAGTCAAGGGGGAAAAAATTACCTAGGTGTTGAAACCTACTTTTGATCTCTTTTCCACCACGTTCTGAAAGCAACGATTTCTTCCATTCTTTGCTCTCCAAAATTTCAACAAACTTTCAGGACACCTCAACCCCACCAACAGGTGTTGCCTCCCAGAACCTTCTCTATGCCCCAAGAGTATCTATCATTAAATCTTGAGTCACACAACAGGGGTCCAGAATATAATCTGTTACTCTGCTTCTCTTTTTAACCCTGGTACTGTTGGGGAGTTACGTTTTTTTTTTTTTTAACTTTCTTTCTTTTTGGTGCAGTCTTCTTTTTTTTTTACAATAGCTGCCAACATTTTGTCTATTTTATTCATCTTTGAAAACAAATTTGGTGTTTTTAATCAAGTCTACATTTTATGTATTGGTATATTAATGGATACTTTTATCTTCATTAAGGTGGGGGGTGTAGGTTTGGGAGTAAGTTTATATTCACTTTCAATTTCTCTTATTTTCTAATAAACATAATTAGGATAAGATTTGTCCCTCTAAGAATTGCTTTACCTATTTCCACAGATTTAACATTTTTTGCTATCACTGTCATTTAGTTATAATTTATGGTTTCTGCTGATTTCTAGTATAAATAAAAAGTTAAAAGAAGTGTGTAAATTTATGATTTTATTGCATTGTGAAAAGTGTTCAAGTCCACAAAGTATAGCAAATTTTGGTAGCTGATTTCAATTTTAGGAAATATTTTATATGTGTTTTGAAAAGATTATGCAGTCTTTGAGTATTATATATTTAAATTATATATATATATCCATAAATGCTATATAGTATGTATGTAAATATGAAATGTTTTATGCTAAATATATAAAGTATATGAATAAACATTTTTTTCAAATTTTCTCTATCCTTATATTTGATGTTTTTTTCTTTGTTTATTTTAATATAATGGAATTAAAGATTCTGAAAGATGTATAGTAAATGCCTATGATAAGTGTGGATTTTTAAATTTTTGTTTGTAATTTTATTCATATTTGCTTTATATATTTCAGAGATAGGTTGTTAGGTGCATAAGATTCATGACTGATATATCTAACTTTAAATTGTTCTTTTCCTCATTTTGAATAATTTTCCTTCTTAAAATGCTTTGTCTACTACTCTCTTTTCTCTCTTTTTACAAATCTTATTGGATTGATATTGGAACATTTAAGTCTGCTCATTGAATTTTTCTTGAATCCCTTTCATATCCTTATCCTTTTGTGCTACATTCTGGAGGAATTCTGTGACCTGAACTTCTACCCATTTACTGTGGTATCCATTCTGTTAGTTGAGCAATCAGTTGAGATTTTGTATTTTTCTTTTTGCACATCTCTAATTTCTACCATTTACAAAATTGTCTTCTTACACACTTTGGATATATTCATGTCAAAGTATTTATTGATTTATGATACCTTTATTTATTTGGTCTGGCTTCTTGGGTTTGTGGACTTTAGTTTTCCCTTTTCTTTGTGTTAGTTTTCTCAAATGCGTGGTTGTTTGTTATGAGGTGGAGGTTTCTCTGTCATAGAGAGTAAGTGGCCAACATTGCAGAACACAAGAAATTACTGTTATAAAATTCAGTGAAAATGGGGATGCATAGATTGTCATTGGGTACCAAAGCTTCAAGGTCCTCATAGGTACCACAAGCCTCCCAGAGCGCTGTCTTGTATATCTCTCTATCCGATGTGCCTATCCTCCTGCTTTCTGGAGGCAGCCATCTCTGTGATATCTCCTTCCTTTGTAGGTTGTGTGTGTGTGTCATGAATAGAGCTGCTCTATCTTCTTTGCTTAAACTGACCACTCTGCCTGTTGTCCTTTGGCTCCTGGCTTCTACCTCTCCAAGCATGCACGTACTTGGTGAATCTTCTATACAGTCTAGCAGTTTTCATCTTCAATCTCATTCTACTTGTTTTCCAACTTACAGGGATTCTCCACAATTCCTGGTCTCTGAGCATTTTCTTTCTTATTATTATACTCTATTACTCTACTTTGAAAGATGGAACAAATATATATTTCTCTACCAATAATAGGTATGTAAATAATTTTGTTTTCTTCTTTGCATTTTTCTCTTTTTAAAAATTGACTTTCACATACACCTTGTTTATTATCAGGAAAACATGTTCATGTGTGTATGAAAGTATGTATTAAAGTCTTAAAACACACATGTTCTTTTATGGTTCTATAGAGGAAGTGGTGACCCAGGATGAAAAGTTGCTGCTGAACACACCTGCATCCTTAAGATGTTCTCTGCAATCTGCCCACGAAGCCTTGATTGTGACATGGCAGAAAAAAAAGGCTGTAAGCCCAGAAAACATGGTTACCTACAGCAGGAACCATGGGGTTGTGGTCCAGCCTGCCTACCAGGGCAGAGTGAACATCACCGAGCTGGGACTCCAGAACTCAACCATCACCTTCTGGAACACAACGCTGGAGGACGAGGGGTGCTACATGTGTCTCTTCAACACCTTTAGTTCTGGGAAGATCTCGGGAACAGCCTGCCTCACCCTCTATGGTGAGAATCTCTGGGAATGCACTGCCTGTGGGGAGACACTATTTGCAGGAATGTTTGGAACATGGTGGTATGGCGAGTTGTTCAGGTTCATAATCACAGAATGGCTCACTAGAAGACACAGCCTTTCATGTCTCTAGCAGCTATTTGCTGTGGTTTTCCTTTTCTTTGAGGGTTTGTGGTGCTATCCTGAGTTGTTCTGCTGGAGCTCTCTTTCCTCTGGAGATCTTGTTGTCCACATGACTTTGGGCAATAATGAGGGCAGCAAGTTCTTCAGAATCAGTGGCACCAGTGAGACCTGGCACTGCCCTCATCAGTCATGTGGCCCCAGAATATCTGGTATGCTTTCTCCACTGGAGTTTCTTTGTCTGGACAGTACATGTGAAACAGACTATCCCTGGAGTCTCCTACAACTTGACCCTCTTGGATCTAAGGACAAAGCCAGATTTTGCTGACCTGGAGACAGCTTTCTCTTAAAATCCAATAGGCTTAGTTTGATGAGATTTCTTTCCTCTTCACTATCATGTTGCTAAGGATTAGGATATAGGGATAAGGGATGACTTTGAGACATGGCACACTTGGCAGTGGCTTTAAGAAGGAAAAGACAAATTTAGACAGGGTTATTAAAAATATTAATGTGAGACTTTAAGCATGCCAACATTATTGGCCACAGGAGGAGAGGAGATTCAATGAGGTCACAATTTAAGGAAGGCACCACAATACCAAATACAAGTTTCTTTCATTTATTTTGCCTATGCTGTATCCTCTCTGCAGAATCTTATGTCAGGTTTTCTTCTTGCTTTTCGATTCTGTCATTTTCTGTCTGTCCATTCGCTTCTCTCCCACCTCCCTCCTTCCTTCCATTATATTTCCCTTCTCCTTATCTTGTTTTTCTTTTTTTTCTTTCTTATGTCATAATTTTCGGATTTCTGTTCCTATTTCTTCTCTTCTTTTTCTCTCATCTTTCTCCTACTCTGTCTCCCTTACTCCTAATTTTCTGTATTATTGTTCACCTGAAAATCAGATGACTCTTGAATTTTGCAGCTTGTAATACTGTTCTCTTCCACCAAACCTCTCCTTCTAAGCCATTCTTTGGTACATCTCCAAAGAATCTGGACACCTAGTCTGGCCACATTAATCACATTCCTCTCTCTTCCTTTGTTCTCTTTACCTCCAGTGCTTGCTTTGTTTGGAATCTGGACATTCTTTGGACACAGCTGTAGTTCTACAACCCTACTTCTCCTTATCCACCCACCTCTTGAACCTAAAGGTATAGACCAGCTTTAATTTGGTGCTGCCCTGTAATTGTCTTGGAGGCTCCAAAGCCAACTAAAGAATATTCTGCACTGCTTGGCAGAGATAAAGTCTACATTCCAATGAAATGAAGTCATTGGGGAAATTTTAAAAGGGAATAGGCTATGGCTGGCCTGAAAATTATATTTTTTTCTCATAAGCTAGTTATTCTCTATTAGGCCTCACTCTATTAGGTGAGGCCTAAAGTCCTTTAACTGCCGTGTTTTGATTTTTCAGGTTATAGGCTTGGAATTGCTAGTTTGTATTTTGTGTACATCTTTCAAACAGAGATTTTCCAAGTCTTCTCTCTGTATCCTATTTGCTCATTCAGCTTTGAGAAAAAAAAAAAAGAATGGGTATCACTAAGTGGCAGTCCTTCTTGGGGCTGTCTGTTCTGCACCTACCCTTGTGCTTCTGATAGGTGCAGAGTACATGTATACAGGTGCTGGTGGGGGTTACTGTCAAGCTACTTGAGAGGAACACCCAAAAGAAGGGAGAGGTGCTACATTATTCATGCAAGAGGAGAACATAATAATTAGGCTTTAAAATATCTGAGAGAGACAAGTAACATCTGACTTTTCCATAACTTTCTATCCATCCAGCTAGTTCTGCTGGAGGCAGTTACAGAAAGGGCCTTTCTCATCGTAGGTTTACACCAGGCCATTCTCTATCCTGCAGATCAGAGAAGGAGACCTCAAATAACTGGGAAGGCCCCAGCCCCAGTGGGTGTGGGATGTACGACCTCATCTAACTAGTTTCCATTTGTCATTCTGTAAGGACCTTTTCCTCATCTCTGTAAGGAGACTATGTGCTTAACTGATGGCAGGTCATATATATATATATTTTTTGTCCCAGTACAGCCCACAGTATTCCTTCACTACAATTTCTTTGAAGACCACCTAAATATCACTTGCTCTGCCACTGCCCGCCCAGCACCCATGATCTCCTGGAAGGTTGCTGGGTCAGGGATTGAGAACAGTACCGAGAGTCTGTTACACCCTAACGGGACCACATCTGTCACCAGCATACTCCGTGTCAAAGACCCCAAAAGTCAAGTGGGGAAGGAGGTAATCTGCCAAGTGCTGTACCAGGGGACTGTGACTGAGTACAAGCAAACTGTGAACAAAGGTAAGAGAAGGAGGGCAAAGATGGCTATGGTCACATCTGCATATATCCGACTGGAAGGTGGCAAATATCCTTCAGAGACTTTGAGTCTCTCAACAAAGGAAGTAACTGGGGAGAGAAAGGTACAAGTAAGGAAAGAGAAGCAGAGTTGAGGAAGCAAATAAAGCAAATTTTATAGTAGTCTCCCCTTATCTACAGAGGATATATTTGAAGATGCCCAGTGGATGCCTGAAACTGCAGAAAATACTAAACCGTATGTGTATGTGTGTGTGTGTATACACACACGTATATAATATGGCTTTATTATATTATATATAATTATATTTATTATATAATATATATACATATATACATAATATAAATATATGTATATTATATATAATATGGTTTTATTATAGTTATGTTTACACCAATAATAAAATAAACAAATTATAACAATGTACCTTAATAAACATTTGTGATTTGGGTCCATTATTAAGTAAAGAAAGCATTACTTGAACCCAGCACTGTGATACTACAACAGTTGTCTGATAACCCAATCAGCTACTAAGTGACTACCAGGCTGGTAGTATACACTGTGTGTATACACTGGACAAAGTGACGATTCACATTCTAGACAGGATGGAATGGGATAGTGTAAGGTGTCATCACATGACTCAGAATGACATGCAATTTAAATTTTATGAATTGTTTATTTATGGAATTTCCCATTGAGTATATTCTGACCACAATTGACCATGGGTAACTGAAATCAAATTGCAAATAAGGGATAGTACTGTACTTTGGGGAATGTGATACAGCACATTGTTCACTTATCAAATGCTATTGCTGATATGCATTCATTCATTCATTCATTCATTCATTCATTCATTTGTTTCATTCTAAGATTTATTGAGTGTCTGTTATATACTAATCTTTAGGTTGAACACAACAAATTCAACAACAAGCAAGACTCAATCACTGCACTTACAGAGCTTATAGCCTACTAGGGATACAGAAAAGTGTCTGGGAAATTGTAAAACCTCATGCTTCAAAAAGAAAGTAGTGGTTCACCATATGGGGACTGAATGTGGAGAGGTGGGGCATCAGCTCAGTTGGGGGGATTAAGAAGGAAGACCTGACATCTGTGATGAAATCTCTGTATAACCTACAGTAGGAAAGGGCCCATCTGAAGAGTCTTCATCACTACTTTGAAACAATCTGTCTCCCATTCAAGCCCCTTTTGCTCACTTGTGTTTCCTTCTGAACTACTGTCTATGAGCCTCATAGATACAAGAAGTGAGAACTGGGTGAGGGAATAAAGGGAGCAAGTCTTAGTGATGATAGCCAGAATTTTATTTCTCCTGTAATTTTGAAGCATCAACTCTTAGATGAGCACTCAGTAATAAACTTCATAAAAATATTGCTGTTCTTTTGGGTGCTTAAAAAAAAATGTGGCAAAGCTTTCCTGTGTGAAGCTCACTGGCCAAAAGGGTTGTGGTGTTAGATTTGGGCATTTGTGAAGAGATTTTCAGGTTTAGCCAAGGCAAAGTGTTAATTTCACTGAAAAACAAGAAGAGGAACATATTTTCTATTTGAGGAATGCTAAATTCGACTTATATAATGTTTAAAGCCACTGGTATATTAGTTTACTCTGTGAACATTTACTAAAAACCTTGAAAAGTATTAGACAAAGCACTGGAACTGTAGAAATTAGATAAATCCCTGTCTGAAGGTTAGTTAAATTGTGATGTGAAAAAAATCCATTATGGAGAAGATGCTAGACACTTCAGCTCTTTCTTTGCTTTGTGTTTCAAAGTAGTACTGAGGAAGACATTTAGGCCAAGTTCCATTACTGACACCTGGAAAGAGTTTTAAAAACAAAGACACAGATTAGAAAAAATGCAGTAAAAACATCGAGACAAGTTATATCTGGGAGTTGAAATCATGAGGTTCATGATTTTCTTTGCTTTTTACTTAGTACATTCCAATAAACTTGCATTATAGGAAAAAGAATATGTGCTTTGCTCTTCTTCCTCTTGCTGCTTTGATTTGAAGCTCACTGGCTTCTCAGAGGTTCGGATTTTAAAAAATCTGTCAGATAATAATAATAATACCTGACTTAGAACATTTTGAGCATTAGATGAGATAATACAAAGACCTTACTATATAGTAACTGCATAAAACATGTTACCATTACTAACGTTATCTAGATATTATTAAAATCATCTGAAGTCATGAATATAGATCTCCGTAGGTGTGCATTTAAGGTTAATTTCAGTTAAAAACTCTTGTAAAATCTCATATCATACCTGTTGCTATATCAGTATTTTTTTGCCTCAACAGCTTCCTCTTGTGATTTTCCTTTTTCTACCTTCAATATCCACAGGCTTTTGGTTTTCAATTCCACTCTTGTTAAGCATTGTTTCCCTGGTAATTCTTCTGGTCTTAATCTCAATCTTATTATACTGGAAACGTCACCGGAATCAGGACCGAGGTGAGTCATTACAAGGAGTACAAAGAATGCAACAGGTTCCATGATTGTTTTAATAATTTGGGAATCATCTGAAGTTATGAATTAGGGGATGGCCACATGTGTTTTGTTTGTTGTTTCCAAAATACATAAATTGTTGGTGCAGTTTTAAAATGCTTTAGAATTATTTTATTGCAATTGGATATTTCTCCTTTTCATTTGCTAAGATGTTTCAAAGATGAATTATTTTATGAGCCGAGAGAGAAAGAGGGCTCAGGAGAGGAAAGAAATGAGAATAAAGTGTTTATTTGATCACAATGGAGTCATTTGATGGCAGAACCAAAGAAAGAAGTCTGGCACCCATGCAAGGTCCTCTCTACCTGTTAATAAAGGACAATCTTTTCTCTTTTTACAGCATTCCACAAGCCAGCTGCCCATTTAAGAGACTGTGAAATTGTCCAATATGATCACTCATTAAATAGCACTTCCTATGTTATACTCCCATGATGTCTCAAACACTATCGGCAACATACAGGTGATCCACACTTACAGTAATTGTGTCATGTCATTCTGCCCTTGTAGGCTGTGAGTTTCTCTTTATCCCCCACAGCATCTATCACGACATCTTATTTATACCACATGTTCAATAAATGTTCATTTATTGAATGAATGAATGAATGAAAGGGATGATGGATAGATTTTTTTAAATGAATTTTTTTAATTTCCTTCCTTCTATTGTAAATTCATTACCTCATAAATGCCAAGTCTAAGATATTGTGAGATATTATAGAAGAAGACATGCCTTAGAAACAAGAGAAGTGACCTGTATATGTAGAAAGATTAAAATTTCTTTAGTTTCTGAAAACAGTGCACTATATTGCACAAGTTGTTAAAATGAGCACAAAGTTTCAGTTTGTGTTATGTGAAATGGGAGTTTCCTAGGGCGAGGGGGTAATATGGGAGTTTCCTGCATCTTAGATGGCTGAAGGTCTGGGCTCAGGAAAGAAAAAATGTTGGTTTTGAGTGTTATTTTAGTTTTTAATTTAAAATCCCCTTCAAAGACTACCTTATTTTCCTTTTCATTTTATGTTTCATGGACTGGGTCTTTCATGTTCTAGTTTCCTTGATCACTTTATTTTGCATAAGCCTTACATTAATCCCAAATTAATTCTTGTGAATTTATAAAAGAAGCAGCAAATCTTCAGTGTCAGTGTCAGCCCTATTGCAAAAGTAAGTGAAGGAATTTGTTCTATCTGGAAGAGGAGATTACAGATCAGATACTCTTATGGCACATGAACACATGCCATAAAACACATAAGCACTGGACAGAATATCAAAGACTGAAATTTGTTTGATTCCTCTTTATACAAATATTTCACTTTTCTAATTTGGAAACTAAAGCTCAGAGAGGGAATTCAACTTCCTTCTCTAAGGTCACACAGCTTCTTAACAGCAGGCTAGGACTAGAACCTGGGTCTCCTGACCTCTGCCAGAATGCTCTTTTCATTATAGATGCCCTGGATTCCTGACTTGAACGGAGCTATTGTTATCAGTTGCATTAATTTTAATCTGTGCTTAGTGTATTGTTCTTGTGAAAATGCAAGCAGAAAAGCATAGAGTAGTCAAAGTAATTTTTAAGTTTCTCTTGGGAAAGAGTCTTATAAAACAAACTGTTAAAGCCCAAGGTAAATTCCACTCGTTAGGGATATTTGCAATGTCATTGCCCTGTGTTCATTAAGCGAAAGTTGGATTTTCTGGGAAATGCAGTTATTCAAAACCATATCCAATTCTTGAAACAAAAAGAGACAGTTTATTTCTATGCCCAAGTTTTTCCTCATTTATGAAATAAACACCTCAACTTGTGTTAAAGCTTGTAAGCACTAGGATTACCATTTACTGGTGATGTCTTCATGACATATGGCCAATTCAGTAAATTTCTCTGAATGTTCTGTGGCATATTCTAAATGAGTTGATTTTGACTGATTAAAAAAAAAAATTGACAGCCAGAGAATGATTCTGTATACAGCTAGTAATACCAAATGTCAATTATGCTGATAGCTTACATGCTCAGAGCTAAGGAAATGGTGTTTCATTAAGACCAAATGTTAAGTTATATTTTCTTTTTTTAAAATTATTTCTTCAAGTAAGGAATTTTGATGATTAATTTGTGAGAAAGGGGAATAGTCCTATACATAGGGCTTTCATTTTTCCTTACTTTACTTTTGTTTTCTTTTTCCTTTTCTTTTCATTACCTTTCTAAAGCACTAAATTTTGAGGGCAGGGAAACATGATCATACAGAACCACAGCCAGGATTCTGAACCCTGAAAAATGATGCTGTGAGCATAAATAAGGAAGTGAAAAAGAGGAACTGAGGTGTGTGTGTATTTGTGGGTGTAGGTGTGTGTTCAGAGTTCGTAGTGAGGTAGAGAGGAGAAAGATGAATTAGTGCTTGCATTTATTAAGTGAATCATCAAAGATGATTCTTTAATCATCTTTGTGGAGCTGCCCAGTAGCCAGTAATAAAAATCTGTTCAAGTCAGCCCTGTTTGATAAATGACCAAAAAAAATTTTTTAAGGTCATCATTACTATTCATTTACCCACAAAAGTCAACAAATTTATAATTTCTGCACAGAGGGGTCATCGCCAATGGTTGATGTTATCTTTGCAAAGAAGTTAGCCTTGACTGACTTTTCTTGTGATGTTCTTTAATGACAGAAAGCATGACACCAGTTTTGTCAGCTGTACAGTTCATTTTGGAGGAAGATATGATGAATTATAGGCCACTTCTCTGCACATTCCTAATAGGATCATGAGTTATTTCCCTGGTGACTACCGTAATAAGACTAATAAACTTCAGAGAATATACTTTTTTTTCTTTCATAAATCTAGTACTTTATTACTGAAATAGAAAATGAGAAAAACATTAAAATTTCCTAGGGAAATTTTCCATCTCATAATAGTTCTTTCTATTAAAATGCAGTGGTGTCATAAGTTTGTGCCTTCCCCATATAGGACAAAGAGGTTCAGACTTGAGGTTGAGAATAATATTTTATTTATCTATTTATTTGGTACCAGGAATTGAACCCAGGAATGCTTAACCACTGAACTACATCCCCAGCCCTTTTTATATATATATATTTTATTTAGACACAAGGTCTTGCTGAGTTGCTTAGGGTCCTGCTGAGTTGCTGAGGCTGGCTTTGAACTCATGATCCTCCTGACTCAGCCTCCTGAGCCACTGGGATTATAGGCGTGTACCATGGCACCCAGTGAGAATAATATTTTATTTCTCATTAGTCCACCTACCAATGATTACATGTTTCTCAGAAAAAAAAAATACAAGAAATTTTACTTAAGAGCAGACCATTGTGGACATATTTGAGTTGTCATTTTTTTGTCTGTTTTGTTTGATTGGCAGTGCTGAGTTGAAAAACCATAGAAAATTTAGACCAATAGTGTAACATACATGTTCTAACTTCACTTTGTCTTAAACTACTAGCAATTTCATGTAGGAATATATTTTCCAGCCACATGATCTTCATGTTTGCCTTGAGTTCCTTCAGTTCACAGTAATCTGTGAATGGATCCTTGCAATGAAACAATCGCCATGTTAGGAAAACCCCATTTCCTGGGTAGGAGCACAACACTGTCTCCTATTTTAAGCTTAGTACTACCTCAGATAAAAAAAGCTCAATAAACAAGTTGTGGTGGTGAAGGAGGTCATCAGTTCAAAGGACATTACAAATATTGTTCCTAAGACAATTTGGATTGCAAAATAAGATTTTCATACTCATCCCCACTCCTACCTTGGTGTCCTCAGACTTCCAAGGAGAAGGAATGGGATGCTTTGTATGGGGAAAGCAATGGGGAATCTTTATTGAACTGCTCAGTGAAAAGTCACTTTCTAGGTGACATTTCACACTCCAAGGCTATTTTCCTGAAAAAAAAAAAAGTTTACAATTTTCACACATGTATAAATATCACCCGATATGACTAAATAGCACAATAAAATCTGATCACAAAGTTCTTACCTTACAGGCCCTTAAAATCTGGACATTCTTGCCTAGAGCTGTTCTTTGCTTCTCTGCTCTTCAACACTTAAACCCACCTTAGATTACATGACCCAAATTTTGCTTTTTAGTGTATGGGAATACCTCTAGGAGTCAAAACCTCACAATATCCTACCCAGTAATTAAATCCCAGTTCACTTCTCAGATAGCACACTCATTCCCTTGGCTCCTTATCCTTCTGGCTGCTTTGTTTAATTTTTGTTGTTGTTGCTTTTATTGGTTCATTATAGTTATACATACGAGTTGGGTTCATTTTAACATAATCATAAATGCATGGAATTTAGTTGGCGCATTGCAGTCATGGGACTGTTTTAAGGAGATTTGCCATCAGTATTAGTGTCTTCTGTTAGACACATTAATGAAAAATCAAGAATGAGAAAATATCCCAGCTGAACAACCCTCCCACATCTCTGTTGCTTTTGCATTTTAGCTTGCGTTCTTTAGAGTCTAATTACTGGTTGCTTTCTTTTCCACCGTCTTGCCCTTCATCTTATCCCTACCACTAAGCTTGGCTCTGAATAGATTTAAGCTTTTACTCCCCGCTGCTACAAGAAATCAACTTGATGGTCCTTAATCTGGAAAAGATTGGATTCCTTTATGAAAGTACTCAGCATGGCTTACCTGAGAAGGAAACATCATAAATGTTGTACTAATTTTCTATTGCTTCTTTAACAAATTATCACAAATTTAGTGGCTTACAACAACACAAATTTGTTATCCTGCAGTTCTGCATGTCAGAAGTCCAGAATGGTTCTCATCCACTAAACTCAAGCCATCTATCTAACAGGGCTTCCTTCCTTTCTGGAGGGAGTAGTGGACAATCCTTTTTTTTTTTTTTTAAACGTAGCTTTTAGAGACTACCCATTTTCCTGATCCTTTTGTCACATTCTACCTGCAAAGCTAGCAACAGCCAGTTGGGTCTTTCTCCTGTTGCATCACTCTGGCTGACTCTATTGCCTCCCTTTTTCCCTCAGAAGGACCCTTGTGATGACATTGTGTCTACCTCTATAATCCAGGATTATCTCTCCATCTCCTGACCCTTCATTTAATCAGTAAAATCTCTTTTACCATATAAAGTTACACATTCACAGATTCCTGGAATTAGTATGTGGACCTTTGAGGTGACCATCATGAGGCTACCACAAATGCATAGAGGGGTTGGGAGTGAGCTGGGTAGAGGAGCAGCTGTTAACTGACTTCCCAGTGAAAGCATTCTGTGTCTGTAATTCCACAGCCTTAGCTTTGTTTGTGGTTACCCTACGTCAAAGAACATCAGAAACTGGTCAGAATCTCTGAGCACATCACTTTGATTTTCTCATCCATTTCCTATCTCAAACAAGGCAGGGCTTTATTTTTCAATGTTGTATTTTGCCTCTCAATTCTATAACCCAAAAGCATGACTTCTGCTGTCTTCCCTTTTACTAACCATCACTAACTCTAATGTTACAAAACCTTTTCCTTTTATTTGGAATCTTGGTTCTCATGTATTTCTGGCTTCTCTCTACTCACAACCCCCTCACAAAGGCAGGTAATTCTGGGTTCCTTTAATAGCTTAGTCATAGGTAAGTTCATTGGATTCTCTGTGGAAGGTAAAGGTGGAAAGATTATACTTATTGCTGTATCTAGTGACATTTGGCATACCACATTGGTCTTCTCCCGTTTATTATAGCTCATTAAAACAGTGATTTTTGAGTCCATAATACTTGCAGAATATTGTAAAGCCATGATAGTTTTTGCAACCTTAATGTTTTCCATATCATTTCTAAAATTCTTTAAAATCCTTACTTATAGATCCAAATTGATGTCAACAGCCCATATACTGTGCAGCAGTTCTTCCACTAGCAGTTTCTTTTTTTTTTTTTTGAAAGGAAAAAGACTTATTTGTTCTGAAGAGAAACCAGAGTATGAAAGTTCTTTTGTATACAGATCATATATGTGTGTTATATAATTTGGATAATCTAATATTTATTATATATATATTTGACTAAACATAGCAGGTGTAAAAGTGTTAGAATTATCAGAAAAAATAAATTAAGAAATTCTCAGGGTGTTTGAAATGAATAAATGAAGTCTTTCTAACAGGATATATATTGGAGATATATATATTTCATCTAGAAAATGATGAACAAATGAGATTTTGCAAGACAAGTTTTGCAAAAATCACAACTTTAGTGTTAAATCCTACATGTCATGGAGGATAATTATGGAAACATCTATGGACAAGAGAACACCACAAGAACCTTTTGCCCTTGGTAAACACACAATACAGAATGTCACTAAGGCTGACAAGTGCTTCTAGTTCTAAGAGTCACTGATTTGTAAATTCCCCAAATTTCTCTTATATTTGTACATCAAAAAGAGAGGACTGGACTTATATTCTGTGAGTCTTTGAAAGATTATGCTGGGCATGGTGCCACACGCCTGTAATCCCAGTGCCTCAGAAGGCTGAGACAGGAGGATCTAAAGTTCAGGGCCAGCCTCAGCAATTTAGTGAGGCCATAAGCAACTTAGTGAGACCTTGTATCAAAATTCGAAAAATTTTTTTAAAAGGGCTGGGTATCTGGCTCCATGGTAAAGCATGCCTGGCTTAAATCCTCAGTACAAAAAAAAAAAAAAGATTATTTATTGAATATCTTTGGGACTTAGGTAGACAAGTTTATTTTAATCTACTTTAAAAGTATGTGTCTTTAATTTTTATTATTAATTTTCTAAATTGAGTACAGATATATATATATATATATATATATATATATATATATATATATATATATATACACATATTGTGTATAACATGATGTTTGTAATTGTGTAATGGCTAAATCAAGCTAATTAATGTATCATTTTTTCATATACTTATTTTTTGTAGTGAGAACACTTAATATCTACACTTTCAGCAATTTTTAAGGATACAATACATTGTTACTATAGTCATCAGATTGTATAACAGGTCTCTTGAACTTATTCCTCCTATCTGGCTGAAATTATTTTAATCTTATGCAAAGTTGCATGAAATAATTCAGAAACTAAACATGATATTTTAATTCTATAAAAATATTTCTTCCTTTAAGACTTTAAATTTTTAACTGTCAACTTTAGCACAGATGATTATAAATGTCTATAGATTTGGTTATTTTCCAACCAGTCATTATTTTCACTTGCAACTGTGACCAATTACTCAGCAATTTAGATCAAGTCCTATCTTTTGACAAATTAGCTGAGTACTTTTGGGCAAGCCATTGTGAGGATTCGGAAGGGAATACCTGGGACCAGAAAAGTGCCTTGAAACAATGGTGTGTTGGGAAACCAATTTTGGGGAACGCTGATAGATCTGCTCTTGCCAGCTTCTGTGGCACAGATATTCCCACCATGGTTAATTTCAGGTTACCAACAATTTAACCATCAGTGTGAATCAATAAAGGTCCAGCACACAAATGCAACATAGTTAGTTTCCAGTAAATAATTAGTTTCTGTTGGTACTAAATCTAAGGTCCCTCAAAGTTTTATCAGTGTTGTGAGTTGTACAAATGATAGAGGGGTGTCCAGTTAAATAGCTAAATGGAGGAAGACATTATAATTATTAGCAGGTAGGTTTTGAGAAAGATTTTAGAAGATACCTAAATTTAGACATGAGGGCAGGCATATATGGAAGTAGCAGTCTTGAGAGAAGTTTGGAGTGAAGGTAAGAGGGGAGATAAGATCAGAAAATATATGTACCCAAAAGCCTGCATGTGCCGAAAGGAACATATGATACCTAAATTGATTTCTAGATATGTGTATAGTATTTATTTCTTTTTGGATATGGGGAACTGTTTTGATTAGACTTTTTGTTTCTTGGAGGATGAAAAAAAAATAGTTAATTATTAAAGTTACTGGGAGTCAGGGTGTAGAATGAGAACAGTTACTGTGCAGAAGTGTATGAATGGGTTTCTAGGAAACCAAAAATGTCAGGAAAAGCATGCTAGCAGTGGCTTTGGGTCCCAAGTTGCCCTGGGCTGCTCAGCAGCACTGAATCATGGGTGTTCCATTTGGTTTCCCTATTCTTACTGTTTCCTCCTTTTTATTTTTTTTATTTTTTTTTTTATTTTTTATTGGTTGTTCAAAACATTATAAAGCTCTTGACATATCATATTTCATACATTAGATTCAAGTTGGTTATGAACTCCCAATTTTACCCCAAATACTGATTGCAGAATCACATCGGTTACACATCCACATTTTTACATAATGCCCTATTAGTAACTGTTGTATTCTGCTACCTTTCCTATCCTCTACCATCCCCCCTCCCTCCCCTCCCATCTTCTCTCTCTACCCCATCCACTGTAATTCATATCTCTCCTTGTTTCCTCCTTTTTAAAAACAAGTTCTTCATCCTCTGTTCTGTGTATCTTAAACATAACTCATAGTTTCTGTTCTTTCATAAAAGTGGTTCATAGATGACTCAGTTTTTTTTGTTGTTTTGTTTTTAAAAGATGCATCTGCATCTGAGCTGCCTAAAACCATAGAATCTCTAAGTGTGTCCTAGGTGTTTGAAATGACCCAGTTCTTCTGGTGATTCTCATGCATCCTAGAGCTCAGAAGCTCAAAGGTTCCATTTGAGTAAGAGTTGTGAGTAAAGTATGGCCCCTTTTGTTGGGAAGGGAGGGCATATGGATATATTTGCTAGAAAAGCTATATTTTAGAGAAAGGAAAAAAACTTTTTAAACTAGATGCAAAAAATCAAACATTCAGTCATTCAAAGTCAGGCTTAAGAGATTTAAACATCAAATTATTCTAGTGCCCCTAAAGAAAACTATGCTGTCATTTGGATTATTATTCTGGATTCCAGTCAGTGGTTGGGTCATACGAAAATGTTATTGTTAAATGATAATCCAAAAGAAATGGTCATAGGGGAAAGTGCTTAGATTTTAGAGGAGAAAACTTTGGAAGTGGGAATGTTATTGGAGATGAAAGGAAAACATGGACTGGGCACTAAAATATTTAAAAGGATGTTCATGGGACGAAAGGAGTAGATTTTCTAGAAGTTATATTTAATTCTCACAGCAGTGTATGAGGAAGATGTAGTTATTTCTGTCTTACAGATGATAAAACCAAGGCTTGCAGAAGTTTATTCATTCATTCATTTTACAGATATTTATTAATAAGTTTTCCATGTGTGTTTTAATAATTATAATGAGCAAAAAAGGACATTGCCACTCTTGTGGAGATGATAGGCCAGTGGGACAGAGAAGCCACCAGTGAACTAGAAAGAAAGGATATGCTCTTAAGTCCTGAGAATGTGACTGTTAGGAAATAACACAGTACATCACACAGAAGGAAAGAGAATTAGGTGACAAGAAAACTATTTATGTGCAATTTGTTTGGAAGATTTCTCTGAGGTGGTGATGTTTAATGATCTTTACTGATGAAATATACACTAGATTTGAAAGGAGAGAATAAATCAACCATAGAGGAGAGAAGGCGAGGTGGCTTCTAGCAAACGAATGGCAGATGTGAAAACTGCAGGGCAAATTTCATTGATATTATAGAACAATGTTACACAAATGTGGTCTGAGGATGTTTGCCCTTCTGAGAGCCATTTCTTACTAAATCTGAAGTAAAATAAGCACATAACTGAGTAGATATGATCACAATTTGACAGTAATTTTATGTCTGTTGAATCCAATAATTAAAAATGAGATTATAGTTAGAAAACTAGAGTTACGTTTTATATATATTTTATTTTGGTAATAATTCATTGGGGTTTGGTTTTTGTTTGTTTGTTTGTTTTTTAGTATTGAGCTAATTTGGGGGGGAAATTGTACTTCTTTGGAACATTAATAGTTGATATTAGACATGTTGACAGGCTCTGAAATATCTAGAACTTCACAGGTTCTGGTAAATTACCCAAGATTACATAGAGAGTGAGAACTAGAGCCAGGATAAATTGTAGGGCTTATTTCAAGTCCACATGCCTTGTAGAGAGGAGCATGTCCTCTCAGGTTATGCGCTAGAAAGTCAATAGCCCCTGAAAAGGTCCCTGTGTCTACTTTGTGACCATTCCCAACGTGTGGTCTATCAAGTTACTCTCCATTGGGAACAAAGCTCCAGGGCTTATCAATAAAACACATTTAGATCATTTGACATTCTTGAACATGTCATTTTACTTGTAATCGTAGGTGATTCTCCAGACTGATATTTCTTGGATGCCCTATGTGTTTTTTAAAGAACATCATGGTTCACTTATCATTTTGGGTGGGGAACATCTACTTCTTCATCTTTACTGATGAAATATACACTCGATTTCTGAGTTTCTTAAACCTTCTATTGCATATCTTCTTAAAATACATGAACATAGAAATTATGCATGTCCAAAGTTAACATCTTGGTCTTTCTTTTATCCAGAGCCCTAGAGGAGCCACACGGAACTCCTGAAAGATTTTCCCTGATCTACTTGAATCTGATGTAAGAGGAAAGAAGGAGGAAAATAGGTCATTCTCCAAGGCACTTATATGAACAAAAGAGGCGGGAACGAATGTTTTAAGAATTCCATGACTTTTCACTGCCATCTAAGCTACTCAGTGTTTGAAGTCCAAGAGAAAGTCATTTTACCTCTCAGGTCTGTTGTAGGACTTGATTTTGTAAAGCAATGCAGTGTTGTGCTGTTGGAAGGCACTGGACTTAGAATCAGGACGTTGAGCTCACAGGCTGACGTGGGCTCCCACCGGTGGGAACCCTGTGTTAATCACTTTACCTCAATGAGCGTCTGTGTCCTCATCCAAAATGGTAACAGTGTTGGACCTGATAATTTACCATGCAGTTGTAAAAATTGATGAAATTCCAGGAAGAAAAAAAAAAAAGGAATAGGAAAAGGAGGAATAAATGAGAGAGAGAAGAAAAAATATGAAGGGTCCAAAGAACTTTTCTGAGACTACCTTTGCCTTTCTGTTGTTCTGTCTCTTCTGTTGTTCTTAGGCCCAGGAGCCTGTTTTCCCGCTGTTTGGGATCTAGTCTATTAGCTGCTCACTGTTTTGCTAATTGTTGACCTTGCTAGAACCTTTGGTTTCCCTGCCATTTTTTTTGTGTGCTTCTCTGAGGTTTACTATGATGAAAATAGGACAGAATTTATTGTGAAATAACATTGGCAACCTTAACTTATCTACTTAACTTATTTTTGTAGCAGTATAAATAGTGTTAGTCTTAGACAATAGCTCACATTTTAAAGACAGCATGCTTCCCCTGACCATTTGTCCCATCCTATGACCCCAGCCCTCGTTCTGAACTCAGTCTAGTGTAAAGAAAATATATTATGAAAACAGATATTTAGACATCCTGTAGATCAGTCAGCCTGTTCATACACTTGGCCTCTCCTGGATCCTTTTCCCATGAATTAACAACTTCTCACCACAGGAGAGGAGACAAGTATGAACTTACAATGACTTTATCTTAAAGATATTGTTCTAACTAGTAGAACAATATGGATTCTTAACCATAAGACCGAATTAGTGTGTTTCTTTTCAGTATTTTTTCCCTTGTCTTTCTCTATCCAGTGACCTAGAAATTAAAATGTAAGTTGTTTTCATTGTTGAATTGAATATTTATATATTTAGTAAGTTTTTCATGTGTTATTTAATTCTGTATTATTTCTTATATTTGTATTAAAGTACTGAACAATTAAACGTGTCACCTATAAATATTTGATGTATGCTACTCTCTTGAGAAATGTGGAATTCTTATATTTTTCTCTGTGTGTGTGAAACCCTTCTCTCTTTTCTATCTCCCACTCCATAAAAGATGCAGTTGACTGATTAATCACAAAAGCACAAATCGAGGACTCTGACCTGGCCGGAGGAAGGTCCCCCAATTTGTGTCTTTTAACATGGACCATGGGTCATGGTACATTTCCTGATGTGTGTTGTTTTGGTTTTGCTTTTAGATACCAAAAAAATAAAAGATTTCAAAGGTTCAATAGCTCACATAGTTTTGAATTTAGTGGAACCATCACTCTGTATTTTGCTAGATTTCTGTAGAGCAGTCAGAGTAACTGAAAGCACCAGTTCTCAAACATTTTGGTATCAGTACTGCTTTATGCACTTAAGGGGACTCCAAAGAGCTGTTTTGTAAGGTGAATTATATATGCTCATATTAACCATATTTGAAATGGAAACTTATAAAGTTTTAAATCAAAAATTTATAATCACATATCATTGTAGCTCTCTGAGTGTTGCCAACATCATATATCACACGGCACATTTGGGAGACCATGAGAGAGAAAAGAGAAAATAATGGATTGATGTAATTATGAAAATGATTTTGATTCCATGGACCCCTGAAATGGTCTCAGAGACAATATTCAAGACTTCTCAGGAGAACACCTTATAAGAATATTTCATGAGCCTTTCTCAAAGGAATTCCTTCCTAGACAGCTGCTACCAGAGTTTGTGGGCACTTCACCATTTCACCAGCACTGTATTCAAGAAATGGCCTTTCTGGAATCTCTCTTTCAAAATTTAGAGATTTCAGAGAGCCCTGAGACTAATCCTTCTTCACCATTAATCATTCAATTTACATTGGGTATTAAACAGCTTATCAGTTACCTTTCAGAACCTTAAGACCCTTGACTTAGAACAGGGATGTTTGATGGAGATGACTTGGAGGGTCAGAGAGAAGATAAGAGGAGCAGGAAGGGGTCAGGTAGAGCAAGTGCCTCTGTCTGAAAGGGCATGACAGTGTGTGGCACTGTGGTCCTGCCTTCCCTGTGACTCCTGCCCTTTCACCCCTGGGAGGGGCTTCCCAGCCCTCCAGCTCTCTACTCATCTTGAACTTGAGATTATGGGTGATTTTTGTACTTGTGAATTAGAAAGAGGTAACCAGGACTTTGCATATTTAAGCAAAATTGAGGAAGTTGTAAACTTTTGAGTCACTTAGAATAATTCAATCTCATATTTCTTAGTAAAAATTTGAAAAAATTCCAGGGTGCTGGTAAGCTTGCTCAGAGATAAGGGAAAACAAAAGAAGATTTGTGTCCTTAACTGAAACTGAAATCTGAAGTTGAGGATTTTTTTTTTCTTGGTAGTTATTCATCAGTCACTGACTAGATAATTCATAAATCTAGGTTGGAAGAAAACAAAATCCATATTAGTACTAAGAACTGAACTCTTTGGTTGAAACAATTTTCTTGAAACAAATTTCTTCCATGATATATATATGTATAACTTACCAAGTCAGTGATTTCACTTTTTAAAATAAGTTTGTTTTGGATTATTTTTGGATTATTTCCTCAAAATTATAATTTAATTTTTTTTTTTTTGTATTTGTCCTCAAAATATTCCAGAGTTGATCTCAGTGCCCCTCTATGGATACTTAGAATAATTAACTTGAGCAGGTCACATAGAGCTAGGACACAACCCAAGCCAGTCAACACTTGCACAGATACCATAATCATTGCACAGATACCTGGTGAGCCCATTTGTGGAGGTATAAAGGCCAAGACTCCAATTTTTTCGGCGACTTTCTTTGAGTATCACTGAGTATGTGTTATGGGGCCAAAACTGCAACTCAGAATTCCAGGTTTCCTGTCCAGTGTCCTCTGCTCTACCACCTCTGCTGTGATCCATCCTATCTCCCACGTGTGAGTGTACCCTGTTTGCTTTGGAATTCAACTCCTACCTCCAGTCCTACCTTCTGACCCAAACCATCTTATCATTCTCCTAGTTCTTGGCAACTGCTTTAATTAATCTCTCTGCTTCTGCCTTCTCTTCTGGTTAGTTTATTCTAAACATAACTTTTCTAAACTACATCAAGTCAAATCATGCCACTCCTTGGTACAAAGGGTCTAAGTGCTTCCCATCTTACATACAACAGAAGGCGAAGTCTTTACATGGTCCATAAGACTTCACATGAAGGTGCTCCCTCCTCCTCTGAAGTCATCTCCTACTGCTCTCACTCCTGATCTCTGGCCTCTCTGATGTTTCACTTATCTTCCAGACATGTTTCCACCTCAGGACCTTGGCACTTTCTTCTCTCTCTGGAAGATTCTTTCTGCAGAGAGCCACATGTGGTCCCCCCTCAACCCCCGTGACCAACATGCCCTAACTCCCTCTCCCACTTCATGTGGTTCCTCCATCGCAACCGTCACTATTCAAAATATTCTATATATTTTACTTGCTTGTTTTATTTATTATTTGTCTCCTTCCACTAGATTGTAAGCTTCATGGGAGTTGGAGATTTTTATCAGTCAGTAAATCCTTCTCAAGTGAATTCTTTTCCTACAAATACCTTATGGGAGAGAGGAGCAGTTCAGAAGACATTGAACTGGAGCATCCTTTCTGCCCTATGGGAGAATGAGTGTAAAAAAAAAGGACTGAGAGAAATTGGTAGTTGTGAAGCACAGAAACAAACATGATGGATCCCAAAGAATGGAGTTTCGTTCTATGCTTGGCATTTCGTATGTGTGATCATGGGCCAGTCACCTAATCTCTTTGGAATTATATTTTCTCAAGTATAAACTACAGTGTGCACCAAATCTATCTCCCGAGGTGGTTACAAGTTTCAAAAATACAAGGAGTAAATTCTTCTCCATGACATCAAAATTCCCACTGCATCAGCACAAGCTTCTTATCCTCAGTGACCTGTCCAGTGCCCGCTCACCCCACAGTCAGCCTCATCCCTGTTCAGAACTACACACAGGGTTGAGGAGGAAGTGGAGCCCTGGAGCCCATGGGAGCTGCCATTGGATGAGCAGAGAGAAAACCCATTGGGTTTTGCTTCAGAAGCAGAGGCCTGAGTGTACTACCCAGCATGACTTGGCCTTTCCTGTGCTGAGGATGAGGCAGAAGGAAAAACATGGAAAAGGTCAAAGTCTGTCTCTGCTGCGTTGGCTTGCCCAGAACAATTGTGTTGTCTGACGCTGGAGTATGACTGTTTGTGACCCCTTCAGAGACAGCAGAGAGATTCCAGATCACTTAAAGCCGATGCCAAAGCTGACATGCTTGGTTTCCCTTTCCAGAGTTATGTTATTAAATCAAAGAGATAACATGTCATGACAGAAAGATCTGGCCAGAACTTGAGTGGTTTCAGAGAACTCAACAAATTCTTTGATAGTTTTAATCTGATGAATATTAGTCTAGATAGTGGAGTATTCAACTCAAAAATATATTGAAACACCAGCTGGTACCCCATGAATATGTACAATTTTATGTGTTAATTTTAGAAATTTTAAATTAAAAAAGTTAGAATCCAAAAATGGAGTTATAAAAAAAAATATGTAGTTACATTTTTCTGGGAGTAGTTTTCCCTTTTCAGTCTGGGTACAGAAAGCCCAGCTGCTTAGGTTATGAAGCTCAAATACCTCATGATCAAGTGGTGATGTTTAGCTCTGTACCTAATAATTTTCTTAAATTCTACACATGTTGGTTTCCTTTCTGGTAGATCAATGATAATTATCATATAGATCTCATTTAACATTAGGTCAGGTGTTGGCTTTGATTAAATATCCTTAAATAGCATATTGATTAAGAGACTGGATGACTCTTAGTTAAGAAACATCAGGAAGTACTACAATTTCAGTAACTAATTGCAAAAACAGTGAGCAGTCAGATGGAAGCACACTGATCACCTGTGAACCTTTAGAGGTAGGTAGAACTGGCTTAGCAGTGTTTGTGAAATATACCCTGTAGCTATCCTAGACATTATTCTCCCCTACCCCTTGTCCCAGTGGATTTCAGAGAGGTCAAACTGGTTCTTGGGCTGCTCAGACATGGTTGGAGCTATTCAGGGAAAAAAGATGCTTCTATTTCATTTTAGAGCTAACTTTAATTTACAAACCATCATGTACAACCACAAGAATTAATTTTAAAAAATAACTACGGCAGAAAAATCAGTGGAGGGAAAGGAGCCAGAGCTAGGGAGTGGGAAGGGAGAGGAGAGGTACTGGATGGAGACTGGATAAGAATGAGATCTATTCCAGGCTTTTTAAATTATGTCAAAAGGATTCTACTGTCTTGCAAAACTAAAAACAACCAGTTAACAAAATATAAAAAAGCTTAGAAAGAAAGAATGTGTTCCTTCAGAGAATTCAGGCCTATCATACTGCATTTGATGTAACTAGATCATATCTCAAAGTGCCACAAGAAGCCACTGTTATAAGAAAAGGTTAGCTTGAGACTTGGTGTCTCAGTGCTCAAAGGACAAAATGCCCTTGGATATACTGAAATTCTTGCTGGTCACCAAGAGGCAAAGTACCCTATGAGTCTCTAGGAGAGACTGGCTGAGAACCCTAGAAGGTCAGTACTAGAAGGGATCTCTTTTCTAGATATCAGGTCTAGCAAAGTGAAGGGACTTCCTGAGACTGCACAAGACCCACACACATCTTTGTGGGGATAGATGGGAGAACCAGATGGCAGAAATTTCAGTACCATTAAAAACAAATACTCTCCTGTGGCTTTAACAGTCTGGTCTGGGCACTGGCTCAGCTAAGATAGCCACTTCCTAAGTTTAAATAGAGTGTCAGGACCTCAGAGCTTACTGGAATCCAAAACTTTCCTTAACCGCTTCTGTATTTCAAAGCTATTCCCATCATTGGTTTTTTGACTTACTTCCAGCTTCTTTGGCAGTGGAAAAGTACACACCTGGTTTGATAATTTGTACGAACAGTTCTGATGTTGCACTTAGTTCTGGAGAACACCTTTTCTGGTATAAAGATTTCTCTT